GAAACTTCCCCCCAAAAGGGTCTTGCTAGTATATCCATAGTAGTATGAACAGTGTATTTTGGAGGCCTGGAATTGGTTTTGGAATCAAGAGACCATTTTACTATGGATATTTGAAGAAACACACTTAATATTTATTTCTTCAGTAAAGACAAGCATTAGCATCCCTGTAGGAATGAGGGGGGGTGTGTGAACAAAGCGGTGGATACTTGTCATTTTCTATATGTATGTGATCTTGATGTACTGTACAAATTGCTGGGCTTGGATCTTAAAGCCACTTTCACTATCCTGCTCATGCTGTGTCCTCCACCTCCAGACACAACTAGATAAAAGGAAACAAAGATGCAATTATAATGTCAGATTTCCTCCTGTAACAGTCCTGTAAGTAACAGGTTCTGTTACTTTAATAGCAATTGCATATTAACATCTTGTGCACTTGTGACCTTACCTTAATTTGTTTTCTTTTCTGTCCTAAATATGTATGTGTGCCTACACCTGAATGAATTTAGCAGCTTTTAACATGCCACAAAATTCTACACCTGTGGTTGCTGACAGACATGGCAGTCCCTAGCCAAACTTCCTGTAGACTGAGTTAAAAGGTTAAAAAACTATCCTGGTGGCTCAAACACTTTGAAATTACTGCCAAGAAAGTAATACAAACTTGTCCATCAAGAATCAAGGTAGATCCAAGAGAGACCTGAAAAACTTTATTTACATATGAAAGACTGCTTTGGAAGATATTGATACCAGAAAATGTTTTATTAAACCGATAAAAGGATAAATAGATACCTCCCTCCCTATCTACTGCTTAGAAGTTCCATTAATTTTGCTAATTGTATTCCCAAGACTGCAACACATAACTACTTAGATAGGCATACAGACTGTTGAATTTAAATCCAAGTACACAATATCAAAATCTGTTACAAGAGCAAAAAGTACTTACTTTTAATTTTTTATTTCTTTTATAGAATCATGGCTCTACATGGCTTTAAAATATGAAAATAAAATAAAATTATAACAACTTATAAAATTCCCAAGCATCCATGGTGAGGAAAACAATGGCATCGTTTACATAATTATAAAATGCACGTCTCAGGGAGTAGAAGTAGTGTAACGGAAATCTGCTCTTCTTCCACCATAGGTGCCCTGGAGAGATGCTCCAGGGAGAGCAATTAATTGTAAGACTTATGTAAATGTGTTCCTTTACAACAAATTTGTCAGTGAGGTTTGCATATGGAAATGAATATGCAAATATATATTTCACTCTCCAATGAAATAGTCATTGCTTTCCTGCCATGTAAGCCAGTGACATCTGTATTTGCTACACTAGTTAGTAGATGCAGATTGATTATTAATAGTTTACTGCCTTGGGATCTCCCAGTCATGTTTTATTAATCCACAACATTGCATTTGATTTTTGTTTCTATCAATAGGGCTTCTGTTTCCTCACTTTCACCAAGCGGACAAACAACACCCACAGATTTGAATAACTCTTGGTCAGGGATACAGAGCTACACCACTGGCCCATCTACGGAAAGAAGCTCTGTTTACTCCTGGGGCGATGATGTAGGTCAATCTTCATTAGTAAAATTGGTATAAAATGTATTTTAAAATATGGTGATTTCTGGTAACAGTGGAGTTTAATATTTGTTTGAATAAAACTTAATTTTTTTTTGATAGATTAACAGTCTTATCTCTTCTTACTTTCAATTTTGGTACATTAATTCTGGTTCATTTGAAGTTTAATTGACAAAGTCTAGCTCAAGGGTCCCCAAACTTGGCAACTTTAAGACATGTGGACCAGTTGAAGTCCACAAGTCTTAAAGCTGCCAAGTTTGAAGGCCTCTGAGTAGCTAAATATTGGTTAATTTATCAGTAGTCTTGAAATCACAATTTGTTCCAGGTAAAAGATCTAGGTTGTTAACCAACATTACGAGAGGCAATTTGCTATAGTGGTTAAGGCACCAGGCTAGAAACCAGGAGACCCTGAGTTCTAGTCCCACTTTAGCCAACAGGATGATCACCCTAGAAAGCAATCAATGACAATGGCATTTCACTTAGTAACAAAGTTGTCTGTCCTAATTAGGATTCTTAAGCAAGGACTATCTGTATTAAAGTCAGGATGATAAGCAAAGTTTGAGAAGAGTGTACATGTCCTATGCTTGTTTGAGCTTCTTGGACTAAACTATGGGTTATTTTAGACATTCTTTTTCTCAGCTGTTCTTTATTTTTTCTAATTCTGATTTTAAGGTTACCTTGTTCTTAATCATTATTGCTAATGAATATAAATTCTTCTGATATTATTCCTCTTAGATACTGCTGTTGCTTGTTGCCCTAATTCTGCTTTTTTAAACATAATTGTCAATGATGAAAAGCTCTTTCCATGTAGCTTCTGTTCTGCAGCACATGTTGGTTAAATAACTCCTGTTCTTTACAAGTCCTGCGTTCCTTTTGAATTTACTCAAACTTCATTCCATTCTTTCTGTCTTTGTCTAAGCACTTTTCTCATTCTCTTTCATCTGATTCATGTCACCAGTTTTTCTCATTTAATACTGTATATATCTTTTTCTGCTTCTGGTTAATCTCACTCATCTTGTGCATGCATTTCCTTTGGTCACCCTTTTTCTTGGTATTTTTTCTCCTTCCTTCCTTCCTTCCTTCCTTCCTTCCTTCCTTCCTTCCTTCCTTCCTTC